TGGAATTTAATCTGATGACAATGAGGAGTCTTAGGTATTATGGAAAGATTATAGAGCCAATGGAATTTTGGAGTTCAGCTTCTGAAAGGAATGAACTAGAAAGACAGGTAATAGGTGGAGGGCAAGATGCATGAAATTAAGGTTCTGAAGGGCCTGTGGTTATTGAGATAAGGTCTAGGTGTGACCATGGGAGGGAAGAGCCAGGGGGAGGACAGATCCCTGGAGGAGAGGCCAGGATTGTCTGAGGATTAAGCCTGGAAATGGAAATCGCCAAGAATGAGGACAGGAGCAGCATGAGGTCAGTGAGCTGGGAGCTAAATTCATGGAGAACTGAGGAGTAGGGACATTTTCAACTGATGACTAGATAAACAAAATTGGCATATCCATACAGTGGAATAATACTTGGCTGCAAAAAGTAATGAAGTGTCCAGCCAGCGTGGCTCAGTGGTTGAGCGTTGACCTATGAACTAGGAGGCCACGGTTCCATTCCCAGTCAGGGCATATGCCCAGGATGCAGGCTGGATCCCCAATGTGGGGCATACAGAAGGCAGCCAATCAATGATTCTCTCTCATTGATGTTTCTATCTCTTTCTCCCTCTCCCTTCTTCTCAGAAATCAATAAAAAAAAATTCTTAAAAAAATAAAAAAGGAATGAAGGTACATCCTTGTTTTATTTCAAGGGTGAACCTTGAAAACAATGCTAAGTAAAGGAATTCAGACACAACAGGTCAAATATTGTATTGATTCCACTTATATGTAATGACCAGAACAGGTAAATCCATAGAGACAGAAAGTAGGTTGCTAGGAGTTGAAGACAGGTGACTACAAATATGTATGGAGTTTCTTTGGGGGAGCGGGGGCAGGGAGTGATGCAAATGTTCTGAAATTAGACAATGGTGATGGTTGTACAACTTTGCGAATATACTAGACCAGTGGTCGGCAAACTCATTAGTCAACAGAGCCAAATATCAACAGTACAATGATTGAAATTTCTTTTGAGAGCCAAATTTTTTTAACTTAAACTATATCGGTAGGTACATTGTTATTAACTTAATTAGGGTACTCCTAAGGCTTAGGAAAAGCCACACTCAAGGGGCCAAAGAGCCGCATGTGGCTCGCGAGCCGCAGTTTGCCGACCACGGTACTAGACAGTCTGCTTTCAAAACAGATCCACAACCTGCTCATGTCAACCCCTCCATGGTCCCCACCCTGATTCCACCCACTTTCTTCTTCAGCCTGTTCCATTGAATAGGCCGCCTGATTTCCTGCTCCCACCCACAACCAGTGTTTCCCACAGACACATCCCTCCTGTGAACAGCTGAGCCCTATCAGGGCCGTTCCTTGCTCAGAATCCTTCTGTGGCACCACCTCAAAGTCTAAGTCCTCCCCATGGGCCATAGCCTCAGACTGCCCTTTCCCCCTTTCTCTGACATCATGGCTTACCATTTGCCCCTCATTCACTCGCTCCAGCCACAAAGGCCTCTACCAATTCCTGGAACACATCAGGCACATTTTCATCTCAGGACCTTTGCACTGGCTGTACTCTCCGCTTGGCATGCTCTTCCCTTACCCACATGGCTTCCTTTCTCCCCTCCTGCAGGTCTTTGCTAAAATGTCACCTTCTCAGTGAGGCTTCTCCTGAATACCCTTTTGGTCGTAGCCAACTTTTCCCATACACTCCTCATCCTCCTTCCCTGTTTTATTCTCTTTTTGCTGTTATTTTCTTCGTAGCAATTATTACCATAGATACAATTGTTTTACTTATGTTTTTTTCCTGGTATCTTGGTCACCATTTATCTCAGGTGCCCCAAACAGTGTTGGCTCAATAAACTTCTGTTCAGTGACCCAGGGTAGATCCGTAGGAGGATTAAACATATCCACTTCTGGCCCCCAAAGAGCCCAGATCCTAGTGAGGAGACAAGTTAAACAAATAACTCGAACTTGCACGTGCAATAAGAGCAAAGAGGGAGATAAACGGGGAGCCATGCTGTATGGGGGCTAACTAGGCTGGGGTGGTCAGGGGTGACGTTTGAGCTAAGCAAGGCCATCAGATGAGAAGCAGAGATCTGGCAGGGGAACAGCCAGTGCAAAGTGAGGAATGAGTTTGGGGCATTTCATGAACAGAGGAAAGCTAGGGCCTTCAAGGGTCCGCTTATGCCTCAGGGTATCTACTTGCTTTCAGAAGCCGCCTAGCTGTGGCGAGTTTTCCCCGGTCTGGGACTGTTTTACCTAATGTGTGAAATGGGGGTGTGTGTGGGCGTAAGCTTCGGGGTCCCCTCCATTCCGACTTCTCAGCACTCCTCGAGAACACTAAATGAGGCGGGGCTGTTACCTTCCTTCTATTGGACGAGGAAACAGGCCCAAAGGCGAAACCACTTTCTCAAGGCTACAAAGTGCGGGCCCTTAACCTCCACTGCCTATTGCAACGCCCCCCCCCCGCCCCCCCTCCAGCCGGAGCGGGCACTGCAGCGCAGTGGTTATGCATCTTGGGCATCAGACAAGCCCCGCTATGCCACTTGCAGCTGTGGGATTCTGGGCCAGTCGCTTCTGTCCCTTGAGCCCATTTCGCCATTTGTACAATATGCACCCCAACACTTACCTCAACTAACACAACCCTTGGCTAACTAGGAGGACTAAGGCACGCTTTCCAAACAACTGCGCGACTTTCTGTGAGGGGAAGGAGTGAAGGACTTGGGGAGCATTGGGGGAAAAGGGACGCGGAACCCGAACGGAGCGGCCCTACAGACTGCTTGTGCGTTTTCTTCCTTCAACCGCGGAGCAACTGTCGGCCTGGCCCCATCCAGCCCCCCCGCGCCCATTTCCCCGCCAGGCTGAAAAGAGGTCGTGGTCCCTTTAAGGCCCGTCCCTCCCTCTCCCAAAACTTCCCAGCGTCTGCGCTTTCCGATTCCGGACGGCCGGCCGGGCTCGCCGCCGAGCTGGTAGGGGCGAGGGGCGAGGGGCCCGGAGGGGTACGGGGGGACGGCTGGGAGGTGCCACCCGCCGCCAGGAGCCGCCGCCGGAACGCAAGGGGGTGGGGCGGAGGTCGGGGCACGGGACGCAACCGCCGCGGCCTCCCGGCCGCCTGCCGTGGACGCGCGGGCCGGCGAGCGGCTGGGAACGGCCGCGCAGAGGACGGTGCCGACGCGTCCCGTCCGCCCGCGCCGGCGCGAGGGGCGTCCGGGCTGGGCGCGGGGGCGGGGCGGGCGGGGTGGGGCGCTCCCCTCCCCCCACCGCTCTCCTCTGACGTCCGGACCTCGCGACCCCGCCTGCTGTGGGGCCCGCCCCGCCTCCACCGGACGCCGGGGTCACGTGTGGAAGACGCGGCGCCGCCCCTCACCTCGGCTCTGGGGGCCTTTTTGGATCTTCTCGGTGTGACTAGGAGCTGGTTTAGATCCCCAACGGCGCACCCCAGCTTTACCTCCCCAAAGCGGCAGCCCGCCAGGCCTGCCCCACGCTCTCAGTGCCAATGACCCCGTTTCAAACTTAGTTTCCACGAGGACACCTGTTCCGGGACACCCCCTTTCACGTGGGCGGAAAGGTTCCGGAGAGTGTTTGGTGGCGACCCCCGCATTTCCCTGCCTCGATCGTTTTCTAAGCCCCTCGCTGGCATCCCCCAACATTAGAGGCCTTCGGGCGGGATCCTGTGTCAGCCGCCGGCCCCCGTGTCGTGGGGCGTGGACTCGGCTTTCCCGGTGCCGGAGGAAGGCCGGCGCGCCGGAGGCTCTGACTCGCATACCGTATGGCTCCCGTTTGCAGGGCGCTAGCCCTGTGCCGGGGCTGCACCGGGCCGCCTGGCAGGCGGGCCAGCCCCTCTGAGGCTGAGGCTGAGGCAGGGACCACCGCGGCCTCGCCCCTACACGACCTCCGTGCCCATGGGAGAGAGTCACCTGACCATGAGGCCCTAGAGGGGCCTGGCAGTCCCGTGAGCACAGCCGGTGACCAAGGTCATCATGAGGGATGCGCCGGGGTTCTGGACTGGTGGGGGCGAGGAAAGCTTTTCAGGGAACGGACTGCACTGACAGGGCTTGTTCCCTAGTCTACCAGGAGGGTATGTTCCGGTGGCCCCGACTGCTCCTGCAGAGCCAGAGGTGCACGGCCGGTGCCTCCCAACTGGAAGGAGTCCCTGTGGTTGAATTTAGAAGTGGAGTGGTGAAACGACGCCAGCCAACTGGACAGGGTCCGAAAGGTTTCATACTGCCAGAAAGGGACACATTTGAGTTAAAAAAAAATCCTTCCGGCATTGAGAAGGTTTAAGGCGGAGAGGAATAGGAATAGTGACGGGGACAGAACTGCACTGGCAGTTTCCCCTCGGCCAGGTCTGGCCTTCCGGCGTGGCACGCAGCAGTCACTCAACACGGGGTACTCCAGGCCTTCGCTTCTCTCGAGGTCGCCTCGCTTCCGGAGGCACCCGAAAAGCGTATTCGCGCATGCGTTCGCATCTCTGATCATTTCCCGGACTCCCGGACTGGGCCCAAGAGCGTCTACCGGGTGGGCTCTCTTTTTTCACCCAATGGGATACCACCAATGGTCCTACCGCCTAGTGAGGGAGACACAGAGATGGGCATCTGCAGTAACCACTGGAGAGGCAAAAGGGAGGGACTTCCTTGTCTTTGCCAAGTGGCGCGGGAAGGTAGTCGTTGTGACTGGAAGACTAAGGGCTTCGGGTTTGATGGATTAGCAAAAGGCCAATGAAAGTGGGAAGGAGGTGGGGTTTTTCAGGAGCGTGGGGAAGCGGCGCCAGAACTCTGACCTATCAAATTGGAGCAGCCGGTCAGTGAAAAGACTGGCATAAAGCGCTCGCCTATAACGAGTGTCCCAAACAAATGAGGGCGGGCCCTCCTGCAGAAAGGAGTAGGCTTTGTCCAATAGGGGCTCAAGGTATGCGGAGGCTTTCTCCCCCCGCAGCGGGAACAGTGGCTCCCCCTATCGGGTGGGGGCGGCGGGTGACGGGCGTGTCCCTCCCCCAATGAGAGGCGGGGGGAGGCGGGTTCTGCGCCGCCATGTCGCGGAGGCTGCTGCCCCGGGCGGAGAAGCGGCGTCGGCGGCTGGAGCAGAGGCAGCAGCCGGAGGAGCAGCGGAGGCGACCGGGAGCGATGGTGAAGATGGCGGCGGCGGGCGGCGGAGGCGGCGGAGGCCGCTATTACGGCGGCGGCAGTGAGGGCGGCCGGGCCCCGAAGCGGCTCAAGACTGACAACGCCGGCGACCAGCACGGAGGCGGTGGCGGCGGTGGTGGAGGAGCCGGGGCGGCGGGCGGCGGCGGCGGGGTGAGACCAAGGCTCTAATCTCGGGGGTGGCCTGGGAGGGAGGGAAAATTTCCCACTTTGAGGGTATTTCTTGGGAAGGGGGGCTTCTGCGCACGCGCCCCTGCCCTCGCGCCGTTGACGGAGTGGGGGAGGAGCAGGCGTTGGGCAAACGGCGGGGTTTGCGCGAGGACAGGCGCTTGCGTGTGGGCGCTATTTAGAGTGGGGAGCTTGCGCTGCAGGCGGTGCAGTGCGCAGGCGCCGCGGGCTGGTGTGGGTTGGGGCGGGCACGCGGCCGGGACGCCTTTTTCCTCATTTTCTTTCCTGGCCCAATGCGCAGGCGCACTTCTCCCGCATTGGCCTCGTGGGCTGTTGGAGGTGGGGGGGCCACTGCGTGAGCGGGAACGGGTGGGCGGTGGCCTTGTCCGCGCCGGAGAGGAATTATGTCCGGTCACTATTTAGTCTTTATAGCTCCGTGGTTTGTCTTGAAGCGGAAGTCCATTTGAGGACAATTCCCCCAGAACAGATTATGTCCCCTATTTTGTGGGCGCTGAAAACCGGAAGAAAGGCCTTGTAAAAGGTCTTTTTCGCCGTTCGGGAGTTGAGCCAAGTTTTGGAGCCATCACGAGTTTGCTAATAATTTACAGGGATTAACGATGCGCAGAGGGGTTGATGAACCAAAATGTTAGCTGCAGTTGGGCATTTTGGAAAGGATTCAGCCTCTTTAGTCGCCTCTGAATAGACCACCAGTTGTTCTGGCTTAGAGCCCATTCCCTCCTCCCTCCAAGTTCATGAAGTCCTCTCCCAGTCAGCCATTTGCAGGTTTTCTCAGGACTCAGCTGCCATCTGTACTATGATTTATTAGCATTTTAATCTGTGCCAGACCTTGTTCCACCCATTTTAAAGGTATCTCAATTGAATTTTCAACACTTCTTTATGAGATAGGGGATGCTTTTACTATTTTTGACTTGCATAGATGAGGTAAATTCATATAACCAGTGAGGGAAGGGACTGAGTTTAGAATTTAGGACTGGAAATCCAAACCGCTGAACCTGGTAACGGTCAGGCATGTGTGTGCCTCCTGTTTGGTTCATTCCTGAAATAGAATCCAGTTCTACCTGGTTCTCAAAAGCTTCTGTCTGTGGAAATTTCTCTTCTTTCTCTAAGACATTACTCTTTTTCTATAGTCTGGCGTAGGTCGTGTTTCCCAATGCAGATTTTGGTTGGAAAGTGATTAAAGCTAAATGTAGTCAAGGCTGGCCTGGCTGCCACAGCTTCTGAGGCACATGCTCTTTTATCCTGACTAGACCTGGGGGTGAAAGTGGGAACAATGATGCTTGGCTGGACGACGGTTGCAGCTTAACTCTAGTGGGGACAAGGCAAAGAAGTTGGGCAGATGCAGAGATTGCCTGATGCAGACTGCAGCAGAGAATTGTGTCAGCCTTTCCTGCCGGTGGTGTCCACTTTCAAGCTACTCCTTTCCCCCATTTTTTTTTTGACCACTGGGAAGAGACAGGTTCTGGAAGGAATGTGTAAGATAAGCGATCTGCTTGGTCCTTCATTCTGCTTTCCTCAGAAGCTACAGCAAGAGGCTTTAGATAAGCAGCCATGCACTGAGGGCCTTTGCTCTGCTGGCCCAGAATCCTTTTGGGGTGATGGTTTAAATTGCTGTCCCTTGTTGTCTGACCTGTGTGTTTTTCCTGGGTGACACTCCGCTGTCTTATTTGACTGAATCCTCAACAGTGCAGAAGCTAGTGAGCCACTATCTTGTACAGCAGGAAATAAAGTCTTGCTTTTGCTTCTTTTCTCAGGAGAACTACGATGACCCACACAAAACCCCTGCCTCCCCAGTTGTCCACATCAGGGGCCTGATTGACGGTGTGGTGGAAGCTGACCTTGTGGAGGCCTTGCAGGAGTTTGGACCCATCAGGTACTCCACTCCGAGGCCAGGGTTGAGTGTACAGAGAAGTCAACTTTTTGGTGTCCTATGTATCACTGATTCCTGGTTGGAAGTGACTTGTCCAGTTTGGTCCAGGGTCCCTTGGCTAGGTCCTGGGGATCCTCTGCTCTTGAGGTTGGCCCTTGTGCTTTGGGTCAGGTTATGGCAAGTTCCATGCTCTTTTTCTTTCTCTACTTTGTAGCTTCTAATTAGCATTTTCTTATTCAGCAAGTATTTATTATTGAGTATGTGGTACATGCTCAGTAAATGTGGGAATAGAGCGCTGAGCAAAACTGTCCTGGACTCTTCTTAGATAGTTGCCCACACAGTGATCAGCACTATGATGGGGAAGCTCAGGAGTCTTCGGGAGATATTTGACTGAGTCAGGTGAGGAGGGGTCAGGAAGGAAAGCTTCCCAGAGGAGGTAATGCCAAAGCTACACCTCTGTGTGTGTTCTGCCACTTAGGATAAGAGGTGTTACAGTCAGGAAACCATGACAGGGTGCACAGGAGTTTGGAGGCCAGGGAGGAGTCAGTTCACAGGAAGTTGAACGTCATTCTCTTGTTCTTGTCTCATCCTGAGAATTTGAAATCTGTGTTTTCTCTTGTCAGCTATGTGGTGGTAATGCCTAAAAAAAGACAAGCGTTGGTGGAGTTTGAAGATGTGTTGGGGGCTTGCAACGCTGTGAACTATGCGGCCGACAACCAAATCTACATTGCTGGTCACCCAGCCTTTGTAAATTACTCCACCAGCCAGAAGATCTCCCGCCCAGGAGACTCTGATGATTCCCGAAGCGTCAACAGTGTGCTTCTCTTTACCATTCTTAACCCCATCTATTCCATTACCACGGTGCGTGCCAGTGGACATTCATTCCTTTATGCTCCTCTGTGAGATCTCCCTTCTTCCTTTTCTCTCTGTCCCCAAGCCAGACTGACCTGCCAGTGCCCCTTCATTTTGCTCCTCTTTTCTTTTACAGGATGTTCTTTACACTATTTGTAACCCTTGTGGCCCTGTCCAGAGAATTGTCATTTTCCGGAAGAATGGAGTCCAAGCCATGGTGGAATATCCTTTGCTAGGGAATAGGTGTTTCTTGGGTTGAGGGCTTAGAGCTGGGCAGGGTGCCATCCTTTAGTGTGTATCTACTAAATGCCTACCATGTGTCAGATGTTTTCATAAAGCCTACAGTCTGATGGGAGGGGCTGTCAATAAATAATCAGATGTATAAAAGTGCAGAATGTAAAGTGCTATGAGATACAAGGAGATGTGGAAAGTTCTCTGAGGTGGTGGTATTTTATTTTCATGGAGAAGTAGGAGCAAGGTGGAAGCACTGGCTTTATCAAAGATCCTCAGGGGAGCCCTAGCCTGATGGCTCAGTGGGTTGGAGTGTTGTTGCTGGTTCAATTCCCAGTCAGGGCACCTGCCTAGGTTGTGAGTTCCATCCCCAGTGGGGGCACAAATGGAAAGCAGCTAAACGATGCTTCTCACATTGATGTTCCTCTGCCCTCTTTCCCTCCAATCTCCTCCCCCCCCCAAAAAAAAAAAAATTAAAAAAACAACATTCAAGGGGGAGGAAGAAAGGGGCCCTAATATAAGGTGACAGGAGAAGATTTTTTTTTTTAAATATATTTTATTGATTTTTTACAGAGAGGAAGGGAGAGGGATAGAGAGCCAGAAACATCGATGAGAGAGAAACATTGATCAGCTGCCTTCTGCATACCCCCTGCTGGGGATGTGCCTGCAACCAAGGTACATGCCCTTGACCGGAATCGAACCTGGGACCCTTCAGTCCGCAGGCTGAAGCTCTATCCACCGAGCCAAACCGGCTAGGGCGACAGGAGAAGATTTGACTTTGAGTGGTGGGCCCATGAAACCCATACCTGAAATCGGATCATGTTGACCAATGTCACCCTAATTAATTTTTTGAAAAATACATTTTATTGATTTTTTACAGAGGAAGGGAGAGGGATAGAGAGTTAGAAACATAGATGAGAGAGAAACATCGATCTGCTGGCTCCTGCACACCTACTGCGGATTTGCCCACAACCAAGGTACATGCCCTTGACCGGAATTGAACCTGGGACCCTTCAGTCCGCAGGCCGACGCTCTATCCACTGAGCCAAACCGGTTAGGGCCCCAATTAATTTAATAAATGTTAAAACACATCCTTCAGTGAGGATTAAAAAAAAAAAATCCTCAGCTGGTCAGAAGCTTAGTGTTGGAGAAAGCAAATGACCTGACAACTGAAGAGTAGCAGACCTAGGGGAGGGTTCTCTGTGGGCATTAGGAGTTAGGGGATTTTCAGTAGTGGTGAAGCTTGGGTCAGGATGCAGTAGGAAGCCACGATGGACTTTCAGAGCAGGAACATAATCTGGTTGGTATTTTTCAGAGATTGTTTAGGCTTAGTCAAAGCACAAGGGAGAATTTGTGCTCAAGGAGCAGGTAGCTTGGCCTGGAGTGACAGGAGGTTGTTGCCACCTCTGGGCTGGTCGGGTGGGAGTGCAGATCGTGAAGAAACTCTCGCCAGTGACTATTCCCTAAGGGTAGCGTGCCAGCCCATCTACATTCAAGTGGCTGTGGCCGTGAACAGACCCTAGAACACCCATGCAATCTGGGTGCTACCTTGTCCCCCTCCATCTCTGGGACAGCTTCAAGCCCTCCAAAGAGCTGTGATGGGGCTTTCCTTAACTTAACTTACATTTGATTCTGTGCAGAGTGCCCAGCGGGCCAAGGCCTCACTCAATGGGGCTGATATATACTCTGGCTGTTGCACTCTGAAGATCGAATATGCAAAGGTAAGTCTAGGAAGTGACTGCTGCTTGTCAGCTTCCAGGTGAGCTGGGACCTGGCTGATATTAAGCTTTTTCTTGTCCCTACAGCCTACACGCTTGAACGTGTTCAAGAATGATCAAGATACTTGGGACTATACAAACCCCAACCTCAGTGGACAAGGTAATCCTGATGGCCACTTTGTTCTAAACACACCCCCTTGCCTTCATTTGACTAGTGCACTTCATAGACCTGGGTTCAGGGTTATGTAATGCCATTGGGCTCCCTGTGAACACGGGAGGGCTTTAGTGGGAGAGGGTGAATGAGGGCTCTCTGAATTCTAGCTGCTATTTGGGGCCTTTTGGAGCTGAGGGTACAGAATCAGGTAGAGGCTTGGATTGGGTGGGGAACGGGGCCTCACTGGGCATGGCGATGGCTTTAAAAACCAGAAGCAGCTCCCAAGTGGATTCTGCTGCTTCCCTTCTAGAAGCTTACTTAGGGCCACTGACTTGATTCTCACTGGGTCACAAATGGTCCTTGCTCTCCACTATTGAGAGGGTCTTCTTGGCGTGGAGGGGGAGGGGATGGCAGATTGGGGAGGTGATGAAGGCTCCTGGGCCCTTGCAGCAGAGCCTTTGAGCAAGTTGACCTTGTAGAGGTGAGGCCCTGGATTGAAGCAGAGTGGGCATGCCTTACCTTACTTGTAGAGGGGACTCAACTTCTCTGCAGGGTGCCCAAATGGACATCCCCTTCCTAGAATCTGTCAAGAATGGTTTGCCTTGGATAGGAGGGAGAGATGGAGGATTGCCTTTGAAAAGCAGCAGCACCGCCTCAACAAGACCGTCCATCTCTGTGTCTGTCTTGGTCTGATACATTGGACTAGGCCATGGGCTGAGGGAGGAGGCTGGTTGCTGACATCTCACAGGCCCTGGGAGGCCAGGCGCCCCCATTTCTAGCCAGGCCTGTCTTGCTCATCATTGAAGCTGGGAAGCAGTGGGTGGCGTGGGCTAGACTCTTCCCCAGGACCTTCACAATGGGTGCTGTGGGCCTGGCTGCTCCCTCCAGAGGTCAGAGACAAATTGGTGACCAAGTGAATGTACCAGAGCAGGCAATGGCATTACATGACTGCTAACAGAAACATGGCAACCAACCATTTCTTCTCCAAGGAACATAAGTAGAAGATGTGCAGACCGGCAGGGGCTAGTGGCAGGGGCTGGCTGTGCATTGGTTTTGATGCCTCTCAGTTTTGGCTGTCCCAAGGCTGGGGGTCAAAAACGAGAGCTGATGAGGTAACCTGGAGTGAGGGCGGTGCTTCGCCATCCCCTCGGGAACCATACTTCAGCGGCTCTGCCTCTGCACATTGCTCACCAACACACAGGGTAGAAACCACTAGCTCTTCCTGGAGAAAACAACATGCAGCCTCCACCACGTCCCCAGAAACAGCCGCAGAGTTGAGCTCACTACATCAAGAACACCACACCGCGCTCCAAGGAACAACTACAAGCACAGAGGCAGACAGAGACAGAGAAAGAGACGCAACATGGCAGCAGACATTGCTTTTCTATTAAACATTAAAAAAAAAAGGCCAAAATCCAAGCAAACTTGAACCCGAGAATGTACACAGAAGTAGGAAACACAGAGAACAGAGCTCTCAGCCAGCCAACGGCGCTCTTTTCGGAGAACGTTTCACAGACTGAAGTAGATTCCATGGGCCTCCAAGACAATAGGATCCTCTCTCCATTCCTCGCCATATGGGTTTTTTGTTTTTAAGTCCTTTGGTTTGGGGAGGGCCTTCTTTTTTTGTTCCGATTTTTTTTTTCTGCAGTCAACAGCTGCCAACATAATCTGCACCAACTGGAGATCAGAAACCAAAAAAAAAAAAATTTAACCACAACAGCAAAAAAATTAAAAAAAGCAAAACAGACAGCCAAACAGCTCACAGGTACACAGTTACCTGCTGGCGGGTAATCGGGCGTGCTCCCAAGGCCAAAAGTTCGGGCATAGTGGGGCCACTGGCACACTTCATAACCAGGAGACACGCACATGGAGCGCTACACAGCCAGAAGCACCGCACTGCAGCACACAATGTGAGGAGGTGACAACATGGAGGGACACTACCCACTTCATACACCTTTATTTTCCACTTTTCTGATATCTTCTGAGGACAGAACATCTGTGAGCCACTTTTGATTTAATCAAAACATTGACTGTTAAAACAATTCTTTAAAAAGTTGTAGCGGATGTATACTGTAACTTGTATTTATGACTGTAAAACCATGTGATGCAGGGTCGCAGTGTATGTTTGATGGGACGCCATCTTTCAGAACTGTGCTAACTCACTGTTGAAGCGTCCAATGGTAAGAGAAAATACAGATTTGTTTTTTGTGACAAATGGACATTGTACTCTGTACTTCTGCTGTAAGTAGTCTTATTCCATCTTTGTAATGACTGATTGTTGAAAACAAAATGAAGGCCGGGTGGCAGGAAAGGGCAGTGGTCTTGAGCCTTGGGTTTTGGAGTCAGCCAGATCTGGGTTCAAATCCCGGCTCAGCCACTAACTTGCTTTGTGACCTTGGGCCAAAATGTCTTAACTGCTCAGTTCAAAGTTAATCCTTACCTGTAAAATGGGATTAAAATAGAACCTACCTCATAGGGTTGTTGTGAGGAATTTAAGAAGCTGTGATATCTGTAAAGTGCTTAGCACAGTGTCTGCCACTCAAGCACTAAATTAATGGTAGCAATTAATGAACTACATCTGGAGTCGGGGATGGGTCTGCGCCATTGTCTGGGTCTGAGAATGTTGATGCCTTGTACATGATTGCTCATGAACTGATTCTGACTTGCTTGTCCTTTCCTCCAGTCCCTCCTCTGGTTGTACGTGACTAGGTGGGAGGGTGACAGACTGGCATTGAGAAAGAAGGGGCCTAGAGAGAGGGGTCTAGAGCTCCTAGAATCATGGGGTTTTAGGGTTGGTATCTTCTTTCTGCCCTTCCTGGGTTATTTTCCTGCTCTTAACCTCTCCCTTCATTGGGAGTTATTTTAGAAAGCTTTTCTTGGCCTCATGACCTATTAGCTTCCATAGTAACTGCAAGTTCCCCAGAGGACCCAAGAACTGGTCTTTTTCCCACCAGGACCAGAGCAGATGCCAGAGTGCCCAGAACCTCGCCTCATCCTTCAAAGAGAAAGGAAAGCCTAGTTGGTATGGGCTAAGGAGGCAAAGTGGGTTCCAGCCTTGGGCTTCATGCCCACCCTCAACCAGGCCAAAGGAGGGAGGCTCCAGCAGCCCTTGTGAGATACGGAGGGTTTGCAGCCAGGCTTGTAGGAGCTAAGGGACTTGGAGCTTAGCCTTTAGTTAGAAGGGAAAGAGCCACCCCTCTTATTGAACTAGGCTCTAACTGATTTCTCTGTCCACAGGTGACCCTGGCAGCAACCCTAACAAACGCCAGAGGCAGCCCCCTCTCCTGGGAGATCACCCCGCAGAATATGGTGAGGGCAGGGGGTTCCCCTCCGTGGACTCCCGTGGCTCATGTGCCCCTGCCCGACGCCCGCCACGCAAATTCTCACCCGCCCTCCCTCTCTTTCCTTCCCACCCCCCAGGAGGGCCCCACGGTGGGTACCACAGCCATTACCATGATGAGGGCTACGGTCCCCCCCCACCTCACTACGAAGGGAGAAGGATGGGCCCACCAGTGGGGGGTCACCGCCGGGGCCCAAGTCGCTACGGTCCCCAATATGGGCACCCCCCACCCCCTCCCCCACCACCCGAGTACGGCCCTCACGCCGAAAGCCCTGTGCTCATGGTCTATGGCTTGGATCAGTCTAAGATGAACTGTGACCGAGTCTTCAATGTCTTCTGCTTGTACGGCAATGTGGAGAAGGTGAGTTTCTGCAAAGTCTACTGCTTTCCTTGTAGACTTGGCAGGTCCCAGGGAGGCACTGAACCTCATGGTTTGCCCAGTCAGTGAAGCGGGAGAAAGAGCCAGAGCTCGCTTGGGTCAGAGCAAGCTGACTCAGAGAGGGTAACTTGCTTAATTGGGTGACCTGCTACAACAGGGTTTGTTCAGTCCTCACTGTGTATGGGTATTTTGGGTATTTTGTCTGTTCTTGAAATTTCAGTGTTAATAAGACTGGGAGTAACACACAAAAGTGCTAATACTTAACATTACCTGAATATTATGATATGTGAAATTTATCCATTGTGGCTTTTTTAAAAACTTTTTAAAATTTACTGGTTTGGGGTGGGGGGGAGACACATCAATTTGTTGTTCCACTTATTTATGCATTCATTGGTTGATTCTTATATGTGCCCTGCCTGGAGATCAAACCTGCAATCTGAGTGTATCAGGATGATGCTCTAACCAGCTGAGCTGCCTGGTTTACCCATTGTGAGGGTTCTCTCCAGATAATCTGCCAACACTGGGTCTTCTGCCTGTGGGATAGTTAACTGAGACTGATAGGTGACTGTCCCAGATCAGATGGTTTATTGCTTCTGTCGAACCCATCTGAAGGTTTTTTAGTTTATAGCCTCTCTTGGCCCATTAAAAACAGTAGCAGTTCATATGTGTTAAATTTTTCCTATACCAGGCACTTTTAAAAGTGCTTTACATGTTGTAACTTGTTTAACTTCACAAGCATCTTTAATGAGGTCAGTGGGGGAAATGAAGACAAGGGACTTGAATAACGTGCCTAGGTTAAGAGACCTTTTTGTGGAAGCAGGACTTGAGCTAGAGAGCCTGGCTTCAGAGCTGACACTACTGTTTTTCAGTGTTTTTTTTACTATAACACACAAATATTTTACATCAGGACCCACTTTCTGGATAAATGTGTCTATTTAACAAACATTTATGAGAATAGCTGCTTTGGTTTTTTACTATGCCTCCTGTTTTCTGTTGTTTCATTAAGTGATCCACTTATGGGTCATGTCCTACCCTGTCTAGGCTCTGCTGCCTGCCTTGGGCTGAGCACTTGTCGTGGGCCACGCATGCTTTTCGGTTTCTCTTGATTCCCATTTGTAAGTTAGGATGTGGAAGCAAGAGTTACTTCTAACTAACTTGGAAGGGGCAGGAGAGAGGTCCCGGACTGCTGGGCAGTGGTGATGACCATGGCTGCTCTCCCCAAGGTGAAATTCATGAAAAGTAAGCCGGGGGCTGCCATGGTGGAGATGGCTGATGGCTATGCTGTGGACCGAGCCATTACTCACCTCAACAACAACTTCATGTTTGGACAGAAGCTGAAAGTCTGGTAGGTGCCCAAATTCCTTGGGATAGAATGCTTTGGCAAGGGCCTGGGGAGAAAAGGGAAGGAAAATGGGGCATCCACTGCACAGGGCCCAGCAGTGGAGCACAGTGAGACAAAGGTGCTTATTCAGGCAGGAGTGAGGTGTGTTTCCAGATGCTTCTCTGAAGCAGTGGCACAGTGCCCCCTGAGGCACACAGCACTTGCTCAGACAGGAACAAGGCCACAGTGGAGGGCTTGGGGGACATTAGGTTTGACAAAGAGCTCCCCTTTCCCCCTAGTGTCTCTAAGCAACCTGCCATCATGCCTGGTCAGTCATATGGGCTGGAAGACGGGTCCTCCAGTTACAAAGACTTCAGTGAATCAAGGAACAATCGGTTCTCCACTCCGGAGCAGGCAGCCAAGAACCGCATCCAGCACCCTAGCAATGTGCTCCACTTCTTCAATGCCCCTCTGGAGGTGACAGAGGAGAACTTCTTTGAGGTGGGTGCCATGGAGTTGGTCCCTCACTACAGCCATCTGACTGGGCCATTCATTTTAGTCTTTCAACAAATACCTATTGTTTTCCTACTCTGCCAGGATGAGGGTTGAGTGCTGGGGAAAAGCACCAAACATCTAGCAACAGAGAAGTTTGCCAGGCTCTTAACATTTTTGGCAAGCTAGGATAGCTATACCTTTGCTGGGAAAGTATCTGTGTGTGTTGGAGTTGTGATCAGAGTCCAATCTCAAAACATCCCCTTTGTCAGGCAGGCCCGCAGGTGCCTAGATAACATCTGAAGGGAGGGTCCTGTTAAGGGCGAGGTCAGAGGGAACTAGGGCAGGAAGGCTGATGGGCAGAATTGGACTTTGGTCCTTGTATTCAGTTCATCAAATATTTACCTAGTGCCACCTCCCTCAAATAGCAGCTGAAGATGAGAATTTGGGGGCAGGGAATCACGGGACACCATAGATCAGGGGTGGGCAAACTTTTTGACTCGAGGGCCACAATGGGTTCTTAAATTGGACCGGAGGGCCGGAACAAAAGCATGGATGGAGTGTTTGTGTGAACTAATATAAATTCAAAGTAAACATCATTACGTAAAAGGGTACGGTCTTGTTTTGTTTTGTTTTGTTTTTTGTTTTTTTGTTTTTGTTTTTGTTTTATTCATTTCAAACGGGCCCGCGGACCGTAGTTTGCCCACGGCTGCCATAGAGTGTGTGATGAAAGCTTAGAAACTTGTCTCCAGAAAAATCTCAAGCACTGGGTCATGCAGGGCAGGGTCCGCTTAATTCTGCCATGTGGCATTGCTTGTGTTTCTGCATCTATTTTCTATTTTTGTTTTCCTATATATATTTTTATTGATTACAGAGAGGAAGGGAGGGGTGGGGGGGAGAGGGAGATCAATGATGAGAGAGAATCACTGGTCGGCTGCTCCTGCATGGTCCCTACTGGGGATTGAGCCCACAACCTGGGCATGTGCCCTTGACTGGAATTGAACCTGGGACCCTTCAGTCCTCACCAATGCTCTACCACTGAGCCAAACCAGCTAGGGCATCTGCTTCTATTCTTTGTCTTGCAGATTTGTGATGAGCTGGGAGTGAAGCGGCCATCTTCTGTGAAAGTATTCTCAGGCAAAAGTGAGTAAACTGCCTTGTCTTCTCCCTCATTCCTTGGTTGTAGATGAGCAGCTCCCTAGTTTGTGCTTGGGTTAGCCTAAAACCTTTGCTTTCTGATCAGGTGAACGCAGCTCCTCCGGGCTGCTGGAATGGGAATCCAAGAGTGATGCCCTGGAGACTTTGGGCTTCCTGAACCATTACCAGATGAAAAACCCAAGTGAGTATCTGTATCCTGCAGTCATCCCCCTTATGGCCTAATGGGTTGGCTGGCTTCAGGTCAGCGCTGTCCTTCCTGCTATCACAATAGAGCCCCAGAAATTTCCACATTGTCACTGACACAGATGAGCGGGACCTGATCTCCAAGAGAGCAGCCTGGTGTTCCCTATAGGAGAGCCATATCAGTAATGCCCAGCCATGTCAGTCACAGGGGCTGGCTAAGCTAGTATCCAGGAAAGGGGCTATATTAGCCAGCAGGTAAAATTTGCCCATCCAGTTCCTGGGGGCAGGCCTATTGCTCTGAGCAGCAACAGAGCTAGGAATGGGATTGGGATATTCTCCATGGTAGTGAAGGAAGGGAAGGAGAAATGCCTTGTGTTTTGGGCTTGTTTTTAAGCCTCACATTGGGCAGTGACCATTAGGCCCCACAATTGAACTGCAGAAAAAGATGTGTTTAAATGAGGAGAATTGTGGGGTGGGGGGAGGCTTGAAGAGGGGGTGGGTGGTGCCTCCAGAGATGGACTCAGCCAGACCCTCTTTTCTTCTTTGCAGATGGTCCGTACCCTTATACCCTGAAATTGTGTTTCTCCACTGCTCAGCACGCCTCGTAATTAGGTGCCGAGGAAGAGTCCTATCTGAGCAGGAAATAATTTCTTTCGTTTTTTTGTTTTTTTGTTTTTGTTTTTTTCCCCACAAAAGTTCCTATATTCCTTTTATCTCTTTTTTTTAAAATGCTAGGTTAGAGGCTTAACCATAATGGAAACGATGGAAGGGGAGGGGAAGGGAATTGATATCTCCCAAGATTAACCTTCACTTTTAAGAAATTATTGTACATGTGATTTTTTTCCCCCGTTCATACATTCGTGCTGCCTATGTACTCTTGGCACATTTCAATAAAATTGTTTGGAAAATTAACAGTGCTTTCTGGGACTCAGGGTTGTGTCTGCTTCCCTCCCACTTGGTCTTCTGAAGAGGGGCAGGCAGGCCAGGACACAGCTGCAAGCTGTGGGGAGCTGCAGGCCCAGCCCTGGGAGGAGCAGGGTGAGCCAGGGCTGTAGACCAGTAAAAATACTAGCAATTAGGGAGTCTTGAGAAAAGGCTGGAAGACCTGGTGGCGCATAATTCCTGTGTTCTGCCTAAGCAAGCTCATTCTAGTTAGGAGAATCATTTAAAAAGTACAGTATTTTTCCATGTATAAGACTTTTTTTTTCTCCTAAAATCATTAGACTGAAAATTGAGGGGTGTCAAGGAGGGCAGGAGGGAGCCGTGTGGGTACGTAACTGCCCATACTTTGTCAAACAGGCTTCCTCCAATCACAGCCTTATTGTTACTGGTCAACTGGTGCCATAATTGGAGGTGTAGTGCGTAGATGCAACAGGGACCAGAGCATTCTGAGCCCATAAAGATGTTAAAAAATAGATAAATACCAGTAAGCGATTGTCTTACTCTGCAAAATTCAAACTGAATGTAATCAATTATGCAAAAGAGCATGGAAATAGCTGCAGAAAGAATTTGGGCCTCCTCCCACTGAGTGTATGATCAGTCAGTGGAGAAAACAGGAATTACAACTCCTTAAGATGCCAAAAAAGAAGGCCTTAAGAGCAAAACCAGCAAAATGTTTAAAATACTGATTTCTTACATTTTGGGTTGGAAAGGGGGTGTGTGTGTGTGTCATACATGGGGCCGTCTTATACATGAAAAAATCTAGTATATGGTGCTGCTGGGGGAGAGGGCAGGACTTAAAGGGAAATTGAATAAACACCTGCCTTTTTTTTGTTAATCCTCAGCTGAGGATATTTTTTTCATTGGTGTTTTTAGAGAGAGAGGAAAGGGGGGAGGGAGGAGGGTAAGGGATGAGAGAAACATTGATGTGAGGTGAGAGACATTGATTGGTTGCCTCCTACATGCCCCCAACATGCCTGGGATCAAACCTGCAACCCTTCTGTGCGTGGGCTGACACACCGGCCAGGGTAACACCTGCGTTTTTATAAGGTTGGAAAATAAACGTCTGGAAGATAAAAGGGGAAGTCTTCTCCCTAGTCCCTTTATCATTTTTGGTGATATTTTTCCTCTGTGTCACATTGGGCAATAACTGCAGAATAAGGTATGCAAAACAAGGAACTGGGTGGGAGGAGCATGTTCTGGAGTTCCATCTGGACATTTGTGTGTGTGTTTAATGTTTTTAATGATTTTGAGAGGGAGGGAGATTGAAACATCAATGAGAACCATCAATTGGCTGCCCCCCTCCTAGTGGGGATTGAGCCTGAAACCCAGGCATGTGCCCTGACCCAGGAATCGAACCATGACCTGTTTCATAGGTCAACACTCGACCACTAAGCCACACTGGCTGGGCAACATTTGTTGTTTTTATTTTTTTTTAATAAATTTTTATTGTTGAAAGTATTACATATGTTCCCCTTTTTCCCTCATTGAGGATATTTTTTCCCATTGGTTTTTAGAGTTGAAGGGAGGGTAGGGAGGGGTATATATAGAGAGAAACATCAATGTGAAAAAGACATTGATTGCCTCCACCACCTGCCCCAACCTGAGCAAGGATGGAACCTGCAACTCGTGTGTGTGCTCTTGACCAGAAATTAAACCCATGACCCTTCCATGTGTGGGCCAACACTAACCACTGGCCAGGGCCATTGGGGTTTTTTTACTCCTAGTAAGGAACTTAGACTTTTTTATTGATACTATCACAGATGTCTCCATTCCTCCTCTACCCCCATTTTGACCACCTCCACCAGTCCCTGCCCTCCCTTTCCTCTGGCAATCACTACTTGTTTTTAATAAGATTATTTGTGCTGTACAGTGTTGTGTCTCATAATCACATACAAAGCAACTTATTTTTACCCCTGTGTGGTATCTTGTGTTGTTGCATTAGAATTTACGTGGTCCCAAAGATAATTTCCAACTTTTTGTTACTGCAAACTGGATATGCTGGATATCTTGATATAAATATCTTAGCCAACTTCCTTGGTATTGTAGAAGTACATTGCTAGCAGTGGAATTGCTAGATTAAAGGATCTATAGATACAATTGCAATGTGATAGATACTCCCCGGTTGTAAATGGGGACTTGTATATGGGGGGTAAGGCGTGGCAACCTGGCAGGAGCCTGCTTTAAGCTCATGATGTAAGAAGCAACCTGTAGAGGAGCAAGTAAAAGATACAGCACTTTGTTCATGCACGTGCTCTTGAAAAAGACCCACTTTCAAATTGTACTGTGAAGTTTAGAAACTCAGATTTACATTTCTGAAAACATGGCATTTGTCAGATGAAACTGCTTCATATGGGACAGTTTCAAAATAGAACAAGGAGAAACTAGTCTACCTTGCAACCACAAACAAATCTGCTATGATATATTTTTTGTTTGTTTGAAAGTATACTTTTATTGATTTTAGAGAGAGGAAGGGAGAGGATATATAGAAACATTGATGGCCTTAGCCATTTTGGCTCAGTGGATAGAGTGTTGGTCCGAGGTCAAGGGCACATACCTTGGTGTAGGCTCAATCCCAGCCTTGGTCCAGGTGAGTGCGTGAGGGAACCAATCAATGTGTTTCACATTGATGTTTCTGTCTCTCCTCCCTTCCACTCTCTAAAATCAGACCTGCTGCTTCCCGCACACCCCCCACTGGGGATTGGGCTTCCAACCCCAGGCATGTACACACAACCTGATGAAGAATCAGACTGACTTGGTTCATGGGCTGATGCTCAACCACTGAGTCACACTGACCACGCTGTTAAGATTTAAGTCAAAAAGTAAATTAGCAGGCAGTTATTCCTTGTTAGCAGTTTTTAGTCTCCTACAGATACTTTACATCATATATATTGTGTGCACATACAGCATGCTATAAGTTTTTTGCTGATAATACTAAATGTTCAACATTCTTTTTATTGATTTCAGAGAGGGAGAAAGAAACATCAATGAAGAGAGAATAATTGATTGGCTGCCTCGCTCATACCCCCAAATGGAGATCGAGCCCTCAACCCAAGCATGTGCCCTTGACCGGACTTGAACCTGGGACCCTTCAGTCCCCAGGCCGGCGCTCTATCCACTGAACCAAACTGACTACGGCTATGTTCAACATCTTTACATTTTTCTCTCTCATATCTTGGTATTTGCATGCGGTTTCAGAGTTTCCTTTGCATAGATAACAGTTCTCTGTTGATGGACAGTCACTGGTTCTGTTTCCCAATAGAGCCTGCCTGTGACATTTTATTAAGAAGGCAAGGTATTCACTGCAATTCCATTTGCTCAGAGACATCCATTTACTTCTGGTGAACATGTCCCTAACAAGCATTTTTATAGCACTTGTGCTCTTGGGTTACATGGATTTTCCATAGAGGTTTATTTTATTGTGAGGAAATTATTTTAAGAACATAGACCAGCCCTGACCAGTTTGGCTCAGTAGATAGAGTGTCAGCCTGCGGACTGAAGGGTCCCAGGTTCGATTCCAGTCAAGGGCGTGTACCTTGATGTTGCGGGCACATCCCCAGTACAGGGTGTGCAGGAGGCAGCTGATTGATGTTTCTCTCATCGATGTTTCTAACTCTCTCCCTCTCCCTTTCTCTCTGTAAAAAATCAATAAAATACATTAAAAAAAAAAAAAGAACATAGACCAGGTCCACATAAATCCCCTCTTCAGCACTACTGAAGCCTAGAGACCATGAAATAATGACTGCCCCAGCCCCAGGTTCCTGTGTACAAAGGAAAATACGACCTGGATGTGGTGTGGGAGTTTAAAAAACATATAGTCAGTCCTAACCGGTTTGGCTCAGTGGATAGAGTGTCAGCCTGCAGACTCAAGAGTCCCGGGTTCGATTCTGGTCAAGGGCATGTACCTTGGTGCGGTTGCGGGGATATCCCCAGTAAGGGGTGTGCAGGAGGCAGCTGATCCATGTTTCTCTCTCATCAATGTTTCTAATTCTCTATCCCTCTCCCTTCCTCTCTCTAAAAAATCAATAAAATATATTTAAAAAATATATAGTCAGAACTTAATATTGGCCTGATTTTGACATGGGTAAACTCTACCAGATGTTTTCTTTTTAGTTAACATGGCATTAGTTAATGATCAGGGCTGCAGTTATTCTGCCATTATATCCTTGGACATTTCAGCTGTCTCCAATTTTAACACCATTGTGATGAACTTTATGCAGGAATGTCCATTAGGCCAGATTCTTACTGGGTCAAAGGGGCCCTTCTGAAGATCAGAGGCTATTTCCTGTTGCCCTTAGTAAAGATGGCGGGAGGCGGGGTGTCTCCGCCTTCCGGCTGCACCTGATGCCCTCCCTCAACATGGCTGCCTTTGTTTCCGCCCCTTTGGTTTCCTCCTATCGCGTTACTCCAGCTACTCAGTAGCAATGGCGGCGGCGATGGCGGCTTCACGCAGATTCCGAGACCTGCCGCTGTGGCGTGAGTCACCTCTTGACCTTTGGGGTCCGATCGCTGTTATGCTGTCCTGGAAGTCATATGACGGGGAGCCTGTCCCGGGCCAAGCAGGGTCCGGTCCCTTTAACTCGGGGATCCCCCAGTTCTATGGGCCTGTGTCCTACAGTCGGGTCGCTGAGGGCGCACTGTCCCTAATCTGGGGTCAGTTCCACGACCAAGGGTCTGAAGTGGTTCTCAGGCTGAGGTCGCTGATAATTGCACCCCTGATCTTTTTTTTAAAATATATTTTTATTGATTTCAGAGAGGAAGGGAGAGGAAGAGAGAGATAGAAACATCAATAATGAGAGAGAATCACTGATCGGCTGCCTTCTGCACGCCCCACACTGGGTGTGGAGCCCACAACCTGGCCATGTGCCCTTGACCGAATCGAACCTGGGACCCTTCAGTCCACAGGCCGAGGCTCTATCCACTGAGCCAAACCAGCCAGGGCTGCACCCCTAATCTTAAACTGTACCTACACT